AGCGGTGGTGCCTCGTTGGGATATGGAATATGGGGATATTCGTAAGCTTATACTTTGTATTTTAGCTGTTATATCTCTTTTCATCGTTAGTGCAGCTGATGGTTTCTCCATTTTGTTCTGTTTTCGAGCCAGTTTTATTCACATAATTTTGAAATAGCGCTTCAAGCGAGTCCTACACTGGCCCCCTTCAGAGTGCTTGTTCGGTATTGCCTTGGTACCAGTCAGTGGTTATTTTTGTCCATCTGTTGCCCCGTTTTTTCCTCTTATTATACATTTTGTGCTGTGCAACAGCTACACAAAACTCATTTTGTCATGGGGTTGTCTGTGTGTGTGTGTGTCCGCAGCAACTTGTCCGCAACTTTCAACTCGGAAACCACGAAAGCTAGGAAGCTGAAAATTTAGCGGAATGTTCCCCACCCACGTGCGACCCCGCAAATTTATTTACACCTACAATGGTGCTCATTAATCATATTTCATGCCCGTCAGTTTTTGTTTAGTCTTTTCTTCATTTTGTCGTGTCTCTCAAATATATTTTGTAAGAATTTAAGGGATTTAAAAATGTGTAGTGGTTTTGTGATTTTATTGATTGTTCTAAAAAATTCTTAACTTCTTTTCAACGGAATTGAGGATTACATGTGTTTCAGTACGAGGTAATATCAATGCGACGCAGCGTACGCCGACCTCGATGGGGAGTAATGACCTTTTCGTACATGTACAAACCGGCGAGACTCTTTCAATCGTTATAGGCAACGACGTTCAACATATCACAGGTTCGTTTTAGTTGTTTATGGCTTCTTCAGAGCTTTTTTTTAAAAATGTATTAGCCTCTCTGCATTAGATAGCTCAGGGCGAAGGGCAGACAGTCTGCTGCTTTGATGGGAGGAAGGGAAAAGGAAGAAGGGGGCAAAATTACCTACGTGGGAACAATGCAAAAAAATGAAAGAAAGCTTCGCGAAATTAAGAAAGAGAAGAACTTAACAGCGGGTGCAAAAATTAGCAACAAAGTTTAACAAGAGGAAACAAAAATTATCCACTAACGCGCATAATTTATTCAACAGACCGTGATTTTCTTTTAAAATGAGTGCGAAATTTAACGAAAATGTCAGAGTATGGCAAAAAAGTTCCTCAAGTTAGACTGGAAGTGTGAAATCGCACTGGAAATTCACTAGTTTGGTCCGGAAATGCTTAAATTAGCGTTAAAATTTGAAAAAGAGTGTTATATTTAAGCAGCGCGTTATGGCGACATGGCACAGATTTGATAAAAAGACGTGGTTTTTTTAATGGAGGAGAGGGGGGACAAGCAAACGGGGGAGGGAGGACAGGGGGGAAATGGTGCACCAAAACTGAAATGTGCTTCTTTTAGCAGAACTCTGTACCTAACTGCCATTGGCTTTGATACCTTGAGCAAGGAATATAGCTCCATTGATATATTTCTTCTCGCCACTGATGCAGAATCTCACAGTGACTCTATTTTCGTTGGATTTATGCGCGATTCCTTGAGGGCGTTTTTGAGGATTCTTCTGTTATGAATTTTTTTTTTCGCAACTTTAACTGCAAATTTTTGAAGGTCCGGCAACGGTGCGCATGGTAAATCAGGCTGGAATGTCACCATCTGCTCTTCCGCTTCATGTCCCGCCTGGACATATGGTTCAGCAAATGGTTGACGAGCAGGTAAAATTTTTGTCCTTCGACTTTTGTTCTTCATCCACTAACCCTTGGAACTTTTGTCTTCGCATCCTGTAACCTTATTTTCGAACTCTTTTAAAGGATATCTTTACTGGAGGAATTTGATCTCTTTGTTGCATAGGTTAAAAATTCGTTTCCCACAACATTTTGTTATGGACTGGAAACTTTCATAACGGAGATAACAGGAATTTGAGGCACGGAGGTAGTCCTGTGTTAACAATCGAACATATGAGTATCATTTATTTGCCACGCCATAATTACGTGAAGAGAATATGCGAAAAGTGCATTATTTTTTGTCAAAATCCTACAAATCGGGGATCATTTGGGATTTTGGAAGTTTTTTTTTTGAAACTGCCTCAAAAAAGTGGAAAAACATCTTTTTTGACACTTCTTTATTACTAAAGAGAAAATTTGCCTGCCTTTTTGTAATGATATTTTGTAATGCGCGCCGATAATAATAATAACAATAATAATACTGATGATGATAATAATATTATTTCCAAAAAATGTTTCTGCGTTTTAATAGCTTAAGCTCAATTTTGTGTCTGAAAACTGTTTCTACTACTTGACTCGTAATTTTGTGGAATATGGCTTTTCTTAATTACAGGGCGTCCTGCGCCACCTGATTCTTTCACCGGAAGCTACACCAACATCTCGTTTGATCCCGGTTCGTTTTACTTTTTTAAGCAGTCTGGTTTAATTCAGATGCGTTTCACTCTTTGTAAGCTAGTTCCTTTCGTTACACTTCGCAAGAGAAGGAAGAGAGAGAGGCAAAAAAGGATTTTTGGGATGTGAGTATCATTTATACTTACATTTCATTTAATTAAAAGCCAAAAGCCCTCGCCGTATTTCATTAGCGAAAGGCGGCAACACTTTAAAAGTAGGCCAAGTAGTAGCAGATGCCAACGGCAAGTAACTGCTGTCAAGGCTGTCGATGACTCCCTCTTTCAACGGACAATTTTACTCATAAGCAGATTCAGGAGAAGGGGGGGGGGGGCAAGAAATTTTCTCCCCCCTTCCCTCTATGCGACAGCGGCACACGCACCAGTGCTGCAAAAGTCCGGGTCTAACGCTAAAACTAAACTAAAGCCTTCTATTCCTAATTTTTGCATAAT